CCATATGACTTTTCTCCCAAGCAGGTAATCTCTGTGACTATTATGCTGAAACAGGGCCTGGTTGGCACCCCCACAGCAGAGGCCTCTTCTGTCAGGGAATGTCCCCTGTCCCACCCAGTTCCCTGTTTTAGAAGATTACCTGGACACATGATGAATACCCTTAGGCTTACTGATCACAATCTCAGTGGCCCAGCACTCTTTCCAGGCTGATCCCATCCTTGTCCCTGGGCCCCTGACTCCACCAGAGAATCACGTGGCCAGAGGGGAGGTGCCATGTGGACCCCCAGAACCCTCACGTAGCCTCTGGAGGAATGCCCAGGTTTCCCCTTAAATACCCCCAACAGGACTGAGAATGTGAAGGCAGTTTTGGGAGGTGTTAACCCGCTGCCTTCTCAGACCAGCGGTGTTCTGATAATAAACGCTTATTCTATGGCCCAACTCCTGTGTCGGTTTATTGGCCCCGGATTCATTTGGCCTCCGGTTTCAACATCAGGAATGTAACTTATATCTGACTTTCTAATTTTACCCCTAAAGGCAGAGTTCTCTCTAAAACAGTGAAGTTTATTGCTCCCTCTAGTAACAGAACAGGGATGCTTTCACAGCTATATTCAAATCCAGCTTTCTGGACAAACTAAGTTTGTATCACAGTTTATGTCTGGCTAAGGGGGCGAGGCTGGAGNGCCTGACACAGCAAAGGGCATTTGCAGAGGTGGCCTTCAGATGGGGTGAGAACCTGGATTACCAGGCGGCCCGATGCAAAACAGGGTCCCTAAGGAGAGGCGGTCAGGGGGGACGTGAGGGCAGAAGGCAGGAACTGGAGTGATCTGACGGCTGGCTTGGAAGGAGGAAAGGCGCAGGGGGCACTGGGTGCAGGCGGCCTCTAGAAGCTGGGCAGACAAGGAAATGACTCCCGCCCCCAAGGAACACAGCCTGGCCACGGCCTGACTTAACCAGTCAGACTGATTCTGCACTTCTGACCTCCGGATCTCTGACAGTAATTCGTGTTAAGCCACTAAGGTTGTGATGGATAAATTATATATATATATATAATTTGATGTCTATATGTTAAGAGGTGTACACACACCAACACAATCCCAGAGAGTTCCAAATAATATAAATCCAAAGAGACCCACACCAAGATACATGATAATTGAAGTATCAAAAGCTAAAGATGCAAAGAGAATCTTAAAAGTAGCAAGTGAAAAACAGCATGTTACATACAAGGGTGCTCCCATGACTACCAGCAGATTTTTCAGTAAACAGTGTGCAGGCCAGAAGAGAGTGGCATGACATATTAAAAGTGCTGGGGAAACAAAAAACAAAAACCAACCAATTACTACCCGGCAAACTGTCCTTCAGAATTGAAGGAGCGAGTTTTCCAGATAAGAAAAACCTAAGGAGTTCATCACCACTAAATCAGACTTACAATAAATGTTAAAGGGACTTTGTTAAGCTGAAAAGAAAGGGCACTGATTAATAACAACAAAACAAATGAAAGTATAAATCTCACTGAAAAGGTAAATGTATAGAAAAGTAGTGGATAAGCAAAACCCCAGAATCCCACTTCTGGGTGTTTATCCAAAGAAATCTAAGGTACTAATTCAGAAAGATACCTGCACCCCTGCGTTCACTGCAGCACTATGTACAACAGCCAAGACACAGAAGCAACCTCAGTACCCTCTGTGGCCAGCTGGATAAAGATGTGCTACATTTATACAACGGAGTATTACTCGGCCATAAAAAAGAATGAAATGTTACCATTTGTGACATGGATAGACCTAGAGGGTATTAAGTGAAATAAGTCAGACAGAGAAAGATAAATACCATATGATCTCACTTATATGTGGGACCTAAAAAACAAACTAACAAAACAGAAATTAGCTCACAGATACAGAAAACAAACAGATGGTTGCTAAATAGGAGGGGGTTTGGAGGTCTGGGTGAAAAAGGTGGAAGGTATTAAGAAGTACAAATTTGGGGTGGCTGGTTAGCTCAGTGGGTTAGAGCGCAGGCTCATAACACCACGGTTGTCGGTTCGACCCCCGCATGGGCCATGGAGCTGCGCCCTCCACAACTAGATTGAAGACAACAACTTGACTTGGAGCTGATGGGTCCTGAAAAAATACACTGTTCCCCAATAAAATCTTAAAAAAAAAAAATGTATAAATTGGCAGTTACAAAATAGTCACGGGGATGTGAAGTACAGCATAGGGAGGGAATACAGTCAGTGATATTATAATAACTAGGTATGGTGCCAGGTGGGTACCAGACTTATTAGGCGGTCATCTCATATGTTATATAAATGTCTACCAACTATGCTGTACACCTGACACTAATATATTGACTGTCAATTATAATTAAAAATTTTTAAATACATGAACTAAAAAGAAAACACCAAAAGAAAAATAGCACTCTCAATTTTTAGGTTAAGTTTTAAAATTAGCTTTTCTACTAAGCATCAGAAGCATCACATTAATTACCTCCCCTTATTCCACACTGCAGGGGAAATTCAGTTTGTGGTGTCGCATTTCAAGTTTTCACCCAAAAAGCCAACTGTAAACTGAGTTGTCAACTGACTAGCTTGAAAAAAGATGCCACTGTTAAATAGATAAATTTCCTAAACACACATCCACACACAACGTAGGCGGAAGGAAATGTTTATTTTTCATTAATCTTTCGAATGCAATCACCATAGTTTTTCAGGTTTAATTTAGTGGCAAACTTGATCAATAACCCTTCCAGGAGTTCACAATTTCAAGGCTAATGTTCCAATTAAGGTAATACGGTTATCAATTTAATATAAATGAAGCTCTTTAAAAAGGCTAAAGGCAGTCTGACCTCTTAAATGACAACGGAAATGACAGACTTTAGTGGCAGTAGCACAGGTACGCTCCAGGTCGGCACGAATCGGAGAGCAAGATCCTAGCTGACTCAGAAAGAA